ATCAGCAACCCCAATCGGCAAGGGCAGCCTCCACCTGCACGTTCGCAAAGAAGGAGCACGTGGAGGCGAACGACCCGGATGACTGGCGCAAGCACATCGCCACGGTTTGCGGATGGGAACTCGTCGGCAAGCACCGCTCACCGAGCCAGGCGAGGGCTCGGCGAAGGGTACCGACCGCGAGTGACCAGCGATGGCAGATGGCGATATGGCACCGCCTGCAGCGGCACGCACTGCTCACCGTGGCCGCTGCAAGGCCGCGACAGAGGGTAGCGGCCGCTGGCAGGACAAGCCACAAAGTGGCGAGAGGCAAAAGATCGTGCTGCACAACTCGGTGGGTTCCTGCCTCAATCGCCCTGGCCCCGGCTGCGCCCTTGACACGGAGCCCAAGCGTGTGAGGATGCAGATCGAGGCCAGTCCCGCCACAGCCACGACGCCCCAAGCTGCTGTGGCAGCTGCAGCGCTCCTCGCGGCGGCCGCGCAGCTCAACGTGGCGAAGGGCGACCAGCACAGCAAGCACAGCGAGCTCGCCGACGAGCGCAGCAGCCGTGAGGTACCAGTCGGGCTGGCGGCCGTGGCGACTGCAGGCAGTGAGAACCTTGCCCCCCCCGCAGCTCCGCGGATGCTGGCAGCCGCGCGGGCACCGACGCGGCGAGACCCGTCCGAGAGCAGCTCGACCAGCCGCCGGCCAAGAGGCAGCGCGGCGCCACGAGGTCTGTGGCTGAGCGCGTGCCGCCCGTCGCGCCGCCGCCAGTGGCCATCGGTGTGTGCATCCTTGCTGCGGCGGCGCGAGGGCACGTCGTGTCCGTCGGTGGCGGCATCATCAGAAGTGCGAGCTGTACTCAACTGCGCCGATGGGTTCTCTGCTGATGGCCTGCGACCCCAGGGACAACACCAGCGGCAGCAGCCGGAAGCGCCGCATCCAGAGGCTCCTCCGCGGGAGGCAACCCCGCGGGCGCCGAGACCTGCGAGGCTCCTCGCCGTCTGCAGGTGGGCAACGCCGAGGGTGGAGTGGCAGCAGCTGGGCTGGGGTGTGCCACTGGTCGAAATGTGCGAATGAATCGCCGCCTGGTCATTCGTGTGGGGCTTGAATACGGTCCCGCTCGCCGCCGCCGTCCTGGTCGATGTGGGCATCTCCGTTTTGAGCCGCGCGGGCGTGCGGGCGTGGCAGCTCGGCCCCACCTGGCCGTGCCTGAGCGGTTCCACCTGCCAGACATGGTGGCAGACAAAGGCCCCGATCATCATCATCATCATCATCATCATCATCATCATCATCATCATCATCATCATCATCATCATCATCATCATCATCATCATCATCATCATCATCATCATCATCATCATCATCATCATCATCATCATCATCATCATCATCATCATCATCATCATCATCATCATCATCATCATCATCATCATCATCATCATCATCATCATCATCATCATCATCATCATCATCATCATCATCATCATCATCATCATCATCATCATCATCATCATCATCATCATCATCATCATCATCATCATCATCATCATCATCATCATCATCATCATCATCATCATCATCATCATCATCATCATCATCATCATCATCATCATCATCATCATCATCATCATCATCATCATCATCATCATCATTATCATCATCATCAACATCCTCATCCTCATCCTCATCCTCATCCTCATCCTCATCATCGTCATCAGCAGCAGCAGGAGCATCAGCATCAGCACCAGCATCATCATTTCATCTTCATATCATCCTCACAACCCTACTTATCATCCTCATCAGCATCATCATCACTATCATCATCAAATCAGAATAGTCATCATCACCATCACCACCACCACCCACCCCAGCAGCAGCAGCGTCAGTATAAGTATCAGCCTCAGAATCATGAGCAGCAGCAGCACCACCATCGGCATCATCATCATCATCATCATCATCATCATCATCATCATCACCGCCACCACCATCATCGTCAGCATCAGCCGAATCGTCAGCATCATCATCATCAGCATCAGCATCATCATCATCATCACCATCATCATCACAAGCAACATCATCCTCATCATAAACATCATCATCAGCAGCAGCATCATCATAGGCAGCATCAGCAGCATCGTAATCATCAACCTCACCATCAAAATTGCCGTCAAACGAAACTAGTAATAGTACAAGTGATAAGAATAATGATAAGAATCCGAATTCGGAGACTAGAAAGGACAATGATAATACGAATACTGATTATAATATGATCAGCATCATCACCAACATCACCAGCGCCAGCATCGACATCATCATCAGCATCGTTATCAACATCAGCATCATAAGCAGCAGCATCATCACCAGCAGCATCAGCAGCAAAATTAGCACCATCACCATCACCATCATCATCATCACACCATCGTGGTCGTCGTCATCACCATCGTCATCGTAATTACTAATAATCAGTATCATCATCAGCATCATCATCAACATCATCATCAGCATCATCACCATCATCATCAGCATCATCATCATCACCATCATCATAATCATCATCAGCATCATCATCATCATTGCCATCGTCATCGGCATCAACATCTTTACCATCATCATCAACACGGTCAGCATCATCATCAGCAGCAGAATTATCCTCATCCGCATCATCGTCAGCATCAGCATCAGCATCATCATCTT